CAAGCTTGCAGCAGGAGGAGGCTCAAAGCTGACACCCGTTCCCTGGAGCCCAGATCAGACTCAAAAGGCTACTCAGGATAAACTAGGCCATTAAAATGGTGGCCCTCAGCCAACAGATCTGGCTGTACATGGTGCCGACAGCATGACAAGCCTTCGTTACCAGCGCTCCAGGAGCGGCGCTGCCCATGCCCGCTGCAGTGCCATGGTCTCACGACTACCCCAACGGCTGGCACATGCTCCGCTGCAGGAGGGCCAGGCAGGGAAGGGTGAATCGGTACCCAGCAAGGCTTCTGCCCTATCTGGCTCTGCCATAGGTATCCTCAGTGCTTAGACATCTCTGTCATGTGCTGAAGCGCAGCAAAAAGAGGCTATAATTGACAGGCACTCCCTATCCTCAAATACAGAGGAGCGCTGCCTCTGTATTTATAGCTTCAAGAAGACGGTCTCCTGAGTCAGCTGCCTGCCAACAGAGTTTGCTTGTTCGCAGTTCCTTCCCCTTATAGCAAGGCTGACACCTTGTGATGCAACAGAGCAGTCTAACCTCCCTCTCCTACATACATATATAATTATATCTGTGTTCATAGAGTCACCTATGCTGGGTGACAGGCCATACACTAAGCCCAGGAAAGACAAAAAAAGAGAAAGCCTGCCTCACAAAAGTCACAATGATCTAGCTCACGAAGCAGAAAGCCTAACTCACTCTCTAGCAGGACTGCAAACCCATCTCTCATTCTCTCCAAATTCCCATTAGCCAAAGGCCCCAGCCCTAAACAGGCTTCTTAAGTACCTTCTCTGGGCTGCTACTTAGCACCTTGCTAAGCTGAGCACCTGCAAGGGATTTGGCTTCAGGTCACAGTGCCCCACCTTGCCTTGCCTCTAGCAGAAATGTGCTCTGCAGCATAGGCTAGGGAAGGTTTAACTCCTTCATGCTGTATGTATATGTTTGCTAATATTAAGCATGTGCCAAGCAGGACAATCTATGAGCCTGGCTGAACATTAGGATCAGAACAGGGCATGCAGTCAGGAGATAGGAATTTTGCCAGGCTGTGTCCTTATTCTCCAGGACAGGAAGGGCAAGAAAAATACAGATTGTGTCCAAAATGACAGGCCAAGGTCAAAGCTGTAATGAGAACTGGGGAGGGGAAAGCAAGAAAAGCATCCAGGGTCAGTTCCCACTGCCTATGCCTCCTGCAACTTGCCAACCCTCCAGCTACCCGTAAGGATCAAGCCTTTCCTGGCACAGGGGGCACAGCCCCAAAGGTGCGCACAGCCCTGTGGCCCTTGCAGCGCCTTTGCTCTGGTTCGTGGACATCTGCCACCATGTCCCTGGGACCAGGTGGCGACAAGGGCCATGCAAGCACCAGAGGGCACCAGAGCAGCACTGCTTCTCTGCCAGCCTGTCCCAGGAATCCCTGCTGCAGCCATTGGATGTCTCTGCTAAGTCAGATACCGGGGGTGTCAAAAGGGAAATATTCCGGACAAATGTTACTCATATCTGGTAATTCCTCAACCATGCATTCTTTTACATTTGTTTTCATTCTGCCACCACATTTTGAGTTGTAACAATTCCTCACAGACAGAAATACCAAAATCCAACCATCTCTATAAAATAGGTCAAATTCAGACTCTGTTAGCTAGGACAACACTCACATCCATGCGTACCCATCGCTAGCCCCCTCCATACAGTCAACAGCTCAGCCATCTTTTCCCTGTCTCAGTCCCCAGACCCCCAGGCAAGTCCACGCCTTCTGAATGAGTATCTGCTGGCGACTCATCAAACGAACAGTTGTAGAAATCTGCCTCTGTAGTTTTGTTTTCATGCTAGAGAAACAGAAGTGGGATGGACTGACATTAATGTCAAAGCTAATTTGAGCCTGGACAGGGAAACTGAGAGATGTCTAGAATGGCTATTTTCTGTAAAGATTTAACTACTATTGAAAAAAAAAAATGGAGTCTGTAACTATTGCTGGCTTAGCCTCCTTAATACTATGATTCTTCAGCCTGTACTGTGACTCTTTCCACAGTGGGTATTTATCCTCTAGTTTTACGCACCTGAGCCCCAAATCTACATTCCCACAGGCCACACATCTGCATGAGGGCTGGGGCTAACTTTGAGGCCCTCTGCCAGCCGGAGTGGATTCTGTAACGCAGAAGCTGCTTTACCTAACGCCGAAACCCAAATGCTTTTGTATTAATCTCCAACAATGCAAAAGAAACACCTCTCTTGCCCTCTCCTGTATGTGTAATGGCCTATCACCATATAGCAGAGCTCTCTGGAATATTTGCAAAGTGCCCTGTTGTTTTTTAATTCAGCTTTATCAAACACCATATGTTAATTCAGTGCGCTCTTAAGGTATTAGGATGCAGGGTTATGGTGTGGGACTTGGGACGTTTCTATCATTTTAACCTTTAAATGAGTATCATTTGGCAGCACCGTGTGCTGCAACGTGCGGTGTGCGTAGTCAGTGTTCCCTAGGGCCTGGGCTGAAAGCCTCTGATCTGGCTATCACAGTCCCTTGTGGAAAGTCATCATGTACACTCTGACACACTCACTTTTTGGAACAGGACTAGTGAGGCTCCGCTCTGGTCGATCCTGGGCGTTTGAGGTGAGTCTAAAGAAGAACACATGGATCTCATTCAAAGAAAGGTGCATTTTGGTTAGCTCTGGTTTCACAATCTGTGAACAGCAGTGAGCCTTAAGACCCGGAAATGCCAAAAATGTTTTTTATAAGCCTGCTTCATGAAGCAGTTAGAACCTTTAAAACCAGCAAAGGCCTCTCCTAAATGTCTCTTTACAGAGACATTTTGCCTAGAACAAAAGCCAGAGTGCCAAGATATACCGTGCAGGGCTGCTCTGGGTCTAAGAGTCATCCAAGAGTCATCAAGAGAGACATGACTGAAAAAGAATAAATATGGGTGAATGCAAAACTCAGTTCCATCACACGGGATTTTCCTCTTGCTCACGGTGAAACTCAGAGGATCCCAAGATGCGTCTATGTTACTCCAGAGGTCAACAGACAAGCAATGACACGAACCAAAGACAGTTATCTAGGATCTCTGAGCTGATGGTGATGAGACAACGGTGGCAACTAACTACACTTCTGCATCCAAAAGTATTCCTGAACTGCCTGTGGCCATGCTCTCTAAGACCAGTTGCTTTATTTGCAGCTGCTATATCTGGAGATATGACCTCCACAGTTAAACATGAGTGAAAAGAAATGGCTTCTGTGGTCTGTTGTTTACTCCTGGAGAAATTTAGAGCATTCCTGAGAGGGGCAGTGACCTGAAACCCAAATGATATCTCAGCAGCACAGTAATTTTAAAGTCACTTTTCTGTCAGGGTTCACTGAGATTCCTCCAGCTCTAGCTGAAGCAGGTCCATCAGGAAACTGAGCTCACCTTCAGGCACAGAATTACATTCAAAGGTCAAGGAGAGTTACATGCCACGTGACAAATCTGAAATGGAAAGCGCCTCCAAAGGGAAGGGCAGGTAACACAATGATGCCACAGAGACCCTGGGTCATGTGTGACAACAGGAAAAAAAAAAAACACACACACACAACAGCCAAGGAATCTAGCTTCCAAGCTAGGAACTCAACTTCTCATAGGGGAAGAAGTAAACGAAAGAGATGTGATAGATCCTGCTCCAGGTCACACTGCAGAGGCGCCCCACTGAAGTCAGTGAAGTGAGTCCAGACTTACACAATGGTAAGTGACATTACAGTCAGGTCCTTTATTTTTTTAACCAGTTCCGCTGTCACCTCAAAAGGCTCATAAATAAGGCCCACTTCATCGTAGCATTGACTTCTTGTAATGCAGCAATTTGATAACAAAGGGTAAGGCAGATAGATGGCATAGCAACAGTAAGGCTGACTAAGCTTTGGGAGATGAAGCATGACAAAATATGCCAGCTACGAGGTGCTTTTGAAAGACTTTTTTTTCCCTGGTCATTCATTCTTCAGAAACAAACGAGCAAAAATTAACCCAAACTGGGTTGTCATTTATGCTTACCTTCCTTCCGGTTCCCTTATCCCATCAGATGATCTGTAATGGAGCCTAACTTCTCTCTCACTGAGATTTTAGCCAGTTGCTGGACATGTCTCTTGAGATGTGAGGGGGTTTCTCAGACACATGGTGGTGGCTGAATCCTGGGGATAAAGGTATGATAAAGAGATTAAGACAAGCTATAGCATGCAATCCACATCCCATTACGCCGCCTTCCCACTGGGAAGATTCTGACTGCTATGAAGCGGCCCGTCAATGTGACGGCCGTACTTTCCCATTTGCTTACCCTAGATGCAGCTACCTCACATTTACATCCCAAGTAGGTCTCCAGAACTAACCCTCTAAGATTATTTGTAACGAGCCACTAACAACCGAGTCATTTATTTGTTCTCTGCCTCTTCTTCCTCCTTGCAAAATTGCCCAGCGACTTGCACCCGCGTGGCTGTGGGCCCCAATACCTCTGGAGCTGCCACTGTGGAGGACATCACCAGTCCTCATTTCCATACAAAAGGACAAAAACACTTACCAGCACCTGCTGCCTGCAGAACAGCCCAGGAACTGTGTGGCAGTAACACACTGCGTCACCCTGTCAATTTAACCAGTGCACTGGTAGGCCTTTAGCTACCTGGGCGCATTGCAGGAAAGAAAGGCTAAACAACCCCAGGTGCCATTCAAACAGACCTAGCCACACACATTCACCGAGCACAGCAATGGTCATGGTGGTAAGGACCCTTCTTCCAGAAAGAAAGGAGCTCGAAGCACCAGCACATTGCACTTAAGTCAACGCAAAAGCAGGTGATAACGACTTATGGTCCACTAGGCAGCCACAGCTGGACTCAGAAAAAGGAAGGAAAGTATCCCACATTAGTGATTTCCAGAGGCATGCTGATCCATTTTCAGGGATGTGATAGTGGAACTCAATGGTCATATTTACAGATAGTTTTAATGTGCAGGAGGAAAGAGACATTTTATTTAAAGCCTCTTACAAGTGTGTAAGCTGATATTTATGAAGCATTCGCTGAGACAGACAAAGTATAGAACATGACTGAGAAAAACAAACAAAACCCAACCCCCACAGAATATTGCTGCAAGGGCTAAGATTTGTGGATTTAACTTAAAAATTCTGCTTACCAGCAAAGAAGGAAGAGGTAACTTATACTGCCAAATACTAAACATGAAGGGAAGCAACAAATAAAATCCATGTAGTTTATCATAATGCAACTAAAAATATGAAAGCTTTCTGGTTTAAAGCTGTAGTTGTATAATGTGTGTGCGCTGTGAAGCAATGCACAAGATACTGATAATTCAGTGCCTATAGAGTCAAATGTGGGATTGATTCCACATTTAAAGAAAGATCATATCATTGTCCTCACGCTGGAAAGCTGCAGCCCTAACAGCAGCGAGCACAAACACCACCTCTCACAATGTCCCAGAAAGGGCACGGGGATATGTAGGCCGAATGCCAGCTTTCTGTTTTGGGTAAATCTCAGCCTAGGTTTATCGTTCAGATCCCTTACTGTACAGAGCTGCATGGCCTGAGG